AATAAAAATTTTTACATTTAAATAAATTCTAATACCTAATAACTTAATTAAATAAGACAGAATTAAAATTTTATTTTAAAAAAAATAATTTATTAATATTTATCTGAGGTATGGATATTTTTGCACCGACCCATATTAAAAAATAAAAATATGTATAATTTTATAATATAACTTTAATTTATTATATATTTATATAGATTAACTTACAAATTTATATAAATTAACTTTTAGTTAACTTAAATTAATTATAACTTATAATTAATAAAATCAAATTGAGTTTAATTGAGTTAAGTTATTAATATTTCTAATTAGAATACTTAGATTTAATAGTTTATAAATCTTATTATTAAAAAGTTTCTTGATTCTCTTAGATCTTTTTAAGAAATACTAAGATAAATAACAAGAATATAAAATTTAATAAGTTACAAAAGAAATTTATAATAATTATTGCAAAATAAAAGCATAAAAAAATAAAATATTATAGTTTATAATTATTTATTTAATAGAACTAGAATTACAAAAACTGAAGCTATACTAAAAGTTACTAGTAATAATAAGTTCTAATATAAAAGAATAAGATTTATAAAATAAATAAAAATAAATTATTTTTATTATACTATATGTCATACATATATTCATATCATAAGTGACATTACCAATTTTATCAATATGAGTTAGAATTGTTAGTAATCAATAGAAAACTCAGGATAAAATTTAGTAAATGCCAAAAGGTATTTTTTTGAATTCATGATTCAATTGGTCATATATCACGTGAATATTTCACATGATCTTTGTAATTTGATTGGTAAATTTGTATTATATGAATTTTAGAACACCAGTGATGTTTTGTATTATCGAAAAGTTTTTTACAATAGTCATATTGTCATATTACAATTTTTCTCACACGCATGATAATAATGATGATATGTGTGCGCTTTAAGTACATATATATGTCATACATAATTAGTGATGCAATAATTTTCACAAATAACGCCCATGGGCGTTCCATATAATATATCGTTCAGTAAAATCCCGTAACAACCTTTAATTTTTTAATTTCGCAGATAGTTAATTCAAAGTAAATTTGCTATATCTAAAAGATGGCTTAAGGTACTACATCACAAAGTTCGCCAGCTTGTGATCCAATAAAAATACAATAGTAATGATGATGATAGCAGAATAAGGTACTCGATTAAATGTTATTTGAGTCCTTCCGTTTCAAGTTTTCTCTTTAATTCTTCGTGCTCTCGTTTAAGAAGCTCTTGTTCACGCGTTTATAAACTTCTTTTCGCAAACAAGCAAATCATTTTCTTCGCAGAGACTTTTCAAATTCGCAACAAGCAAATCGGTTTGGAGCAGCTAAATATTGCTGTCTTAACCGATCGATTTGAGTTTCTGGAACTTACTTTTCTCCCCATAATGCCGTATTTTCTCGTGGAAATTTTTGACGTTTCGCTCATTGTGATTTCCCAAACCTTCAATATCCTCCTCTAATTTCCGTATTCTTATCTCCTTTTTTTTCTTGTCTATCTCTTGATAGTATCTTCGGATTTAAGTGTAGATGAAGACAATGATGACGACTCTTTTCCTTCTCCAACTCCACCAATCTCCTCTTCAAATCCCGATTCTCATCCTCTGATTCTTCCGTTTCTTCCGACTTCCTCTTCAAGTTTTTATTTTCCAATCGACATTTTACCATTTCATTCTCATTTTCAACCGATGCCAATTGTTCTTTGTTTCTGCAAATAAAATTTTTTTGAATACACTTTGCTCAAAAGCGAATCCCGTCGTTCTCCCTTGATACTTCTCTTTTAACGTATTGTATCGGAGGAACAGTAACAACTTGTAATTTTTACAAATGGAAACGGCTTTACGAAATGGTCTGTTGTTTCCGCTGGCTCTGCTAGCACTTCTGGATCGATGTCAAATGATGTATCGACTCCTCCACCAGACAATACTCATGTTTATCAATCGCAACAACACGAACAAATTCATAATTACCGTCCACTACCAGAATATAATAATGGTGATGAAAAGCAAACACCACCACATCAGCAATCGCAATATGAAATTATTCAGACTTTCATATCATCTTCATCATCAAGGTTTTCAAAATCATCAAGAATTTCCTTATCCTCATCAACCCGAATATAGTCAGGCAGAATATTCTCCTCGCCAAGAACGACATTTCAGCATACTCAAAGAGAAGATGAAAACTCTGGACAGCCGCGCCAGAAGGATTAAACAACAATCTTTTTAAGCAGAATTCTTCGTCAGCACATGTCTACGAGAATGGCACAACCAGAGATAGCTATGAATGATAACATTTGTAAAACCAACGACCTTTATTTCGACCTTCCTTCTTGACCTGATATTTAACCGCTGGTTTTTATAGAGGCATAAAACTTTATTGACGAGGTACCTGCCGCTGATGTTCTTTGAATAGGAGTTTTTACGTTGGAGGACGACATTTGTGTAATATTCTTTATAATATTCCGTAAGCTATAACGTGAAACTAAAAACTAGCTTGCTAATCTTAGCTAAATAGAAGTCAAACAGAAGGACAATTCGAGGTTGTTTTTAATTCCAACTTATAATTCAAAAAAGTGCTAGATAAAGTTATTCGTATTTATTGGTATTTAGTTGAGTAGATAGTCAAGTAAAGAATTTTTTAAGTGCGCATCGTTAACTGTCAGTCGAAATGTCGAAGATCAACTATCTTAACGTTAATAATTAATCGTATGTAACATATAAATTTCTCAAAAATAACAACTAACTTGCGCCGTCTACTAAATAAAAAGAAACTTTGCACAAAGTTATAAAATTCTTTTAAGTGATCATGATTATCTTTTGTCCCGTTAACGTTAATCCAAGTTAATTACTAAAATTATTATAATATCGATATAAAGAAATTTTAGATTATCATGTTTTCTCAACATTAAATGATTACATGTATCATGATTAGTAATGGTAATAACAAATGCTAATGCTATACGTATATTGTTAAAATATTTTTGGAAAAATACATTTTTTTTCTCAAAATAACGATAAAGCTTCAATTTTTATCATTATTGTTATCTTTTAAATTCTACGATAATTTAAATAAACATCAATCTGTTACTAATGTCTAATGACAGAAGAAACAATCAGTTCAATTTAGCGTGAAGCATCTTTTTTAAATTTTAATGTTAATAACAATTGAAATTATTTTGAGTATGTTAATAATGATAACTCATCAATATTAGCATCAGATGATAGTTTCATTAGCATTAGTGAGAGCTTGATATCTGAGAGCACTATAATTGATGATAGTAATAAAGATTGCGAAATTGAAATACATTCATTTATCTGGGATAAAATAGGCTTTGAAAAAGTATATGCAATAGTCAACGTGAATGAAAATGAAGAATTTTCCTGGGAGGATATAGAGATAGAAGATAAAAATATGGATTCAGTATCAATATTTGAGCAGAAATCAGAGTTAACAGAAGAAGATGCATATTTGATTGAAGATGTTACTGTCAAGATTTAGCGTCTTATATTCTTTTAGATATGGTGGATGGTCATATACAACATTATTTAAAAAAAAGACAAAATCTTTTAGCTCAATTAATAGGAACATGGGAAATAGATAAAGAGACATTTTTAAAAGAAAAGAGGAAGACAAATTGTATTCTCTTGGTATTTGTTATGCTTATTTCATATCGGATCAAAATCACTTCATCAATTACATATTAAAAAGCTACAAACTTTCGAAAAAAGTTGGATTATCATCATCACTGCTTATTTTATAATAAATATAAATATGTTTTTAGTCAAGGAAATAGATATCGATATATTCAGCATTCGATGCTAGTAATTAACGTTAATCATAATATACAAGTACTTTGTATTGGTTTAAAAACTTATACAGCTTCTCCTCGGAAGAATTATTAACAAATAATTATGATTATTAACCACGTTATATATGTTCTGAATATTTTAAAGTAGAGAGAGGACATTTTTTCGAGAGAAATAAATGAGGAAATACAGTTCCCATTTTATGTGAAGATAAACACAATGACGATACTACTAATTTATAGGAAATTGAATTTTAAATAACAGATGAGAAATATAAAAAAGAGATTTTATCAAATTTAAGTTCAATACTATCAACACTCAGTAATAGTAATAATAAAATAACTTTAAATTATATTAAGTTACCTAGTTTTTTTATATATCAAAATAGCTTTAAGAATAAATTGAGTAGATATTTTAGATATTACAAAAGTTGAAAATAAAAATTATGATTTTATTATTGAATCTTCAACAAAAATTGGTGAGGTATTAGGAATTGCAACATGGCAGTCACATTATAAAATACAAAAAAATAAAAATAAACTTGAAGAACCAAGTTTTTTAGAAGATTATCCGAGTGGATTTTCTATTAATATATTGAAAAAAATATGAAGTTATAATTAAAAAAAAAGATATCTTGACCAAAGCTTTTAATATGACTCAAGTTATAAAATATCATATTTCTTATTTCAATAATATTAAATATTACATTTTCTAATGCTAATATATGATTGACATATAGCCAAAGCTATTCTCTTTATTATATAATATTTTATATATAGCAAATATTATATTCCATACATAATATTATGAGTGACAGTTAGAAAAAAATTGAATTAAAGAAATACTGTATAACTAGAATATAGATAATAATATATAATATATAGATAATAATATATAAAATATAATAATAATAGATAATATAATTTTTTCAAGAAGCTATATGCATTAATATTACATGTTGCTTTTAGAATAATTTTTCAATTTATTTTACTAATTCAACTAATTTTTATAGTTAATAAAAATAAATTAAAGTATACAAAACAAAATATTTTTAATATATCAATTTTTGCTGATAATTTGCTTCTAAATTTGAAAAATTTCTTGAAAACTTAATCTTGTAACTGAGATATAAATAATTTTTTTATAAAATCTTATAAGAAATAAAAATAGAATATCATATTTTATTACTTATTATTATAATTCTTCAATTGAGAATAATTCAAATTATAATAAAAATATTTACAATTATATAATATATTTTGATAAAATAGACTTAATAAATAATGAATATTTATATATAGCTTCTGATAAAATAATATTTAAAGAATTAGTATTATATAAAAATATAAATAAAAAGATAATATTATTTTAAAATAATAATATATATCTAAAAATATATATAATGTTTTATTATTTTTTCTAGTTATAATATATTTAATTTTATAATAAGTTTTAATATTAAATATTTAATAATTAAATAAGTAACAAATTATTAAATAATTTATTATATTTTGAAACTAATTTTAATAATAATAAATATAATAATTAATTTATATTTAATATATAAATATTAAAATATAAATAATATTAAAATTAAAAATAATAAAGTATTAAAGATTTAATATTATTACTTTTATGAAATAATTATTAGATTGCTTATAAAATTAAAAATAAAATTTTAAAATATAATATAAAAATCTTGTAATTTTTATTCTATTCTTTTCAATAATAGAAAAGAGTAATTATATAAAGTCTGTAATATATTTTTAT